GTTGAGACTTTTGAGGGCATATTCCATAATCCCTGAACAGTATTTTCCAAGGTCATTCTGCTTTGAATAGAGGGTGAATAGTGGGAGAGACATAAATCACCCCAAAGCAGCTGTGAGAGGCTGTATGTCAAAGCTGGAAGAAATAAGATTTCATTTTTCATTTCATTTTATTTAATTTGAATACCGCCCTACTCCCGAAGGACTCAGGGCGGTGAACAGGCACAGAATAAAAAGATGGTCATCTTTCTGCAACTTCCCAGTGCAATTTTTCCCAGCATCAGTTTTTGAACAAAGATTTGCCAGAATGATCTTTCCCTATAAAGTTCACTAGAACTCAACAACTCAATCATCTGTGAAATGTATTAGATTGTGCTCATCGCAAAACTGCACAGCTTATTGCCCACTAAAAAGGAATATCTGAAGATGAGATGACTGTAACATCTAGTAGAACATGGTAGGCTATTGCTTAACGCATTGTAAGCCGCTCTGAGTCTCCGGAGAAGGGCGGCATATAAATCAAATTAAAAAAAAAACTCTTCTAGAATTCTACTAAGTGGTATCTAAAAGAAGCCCAATAAGCATCTCTGCTATGGCAAATGGCTTTGCAGTTGATGTTCAGGACTCTTTTAGGTATGAGTTTAGTCCTGTTCCAAAATAGCCTAAAGCCCTGTTTATTGGAATTCAGTTAGAAGCTCATCACTGATTGCACTCACACAAAACACTTGCACCAACCAGAATGAATGGTGACAGACAGCTAAAAGTGCTGGCCTGGCCATCTTCAAATCTTGTCTCCTCCCCAACGCATCCCATGTTAATTAATGGTTATTTTGCCATTGGAAGGTAATATTTGATGGGAATGGACGAAAACATAGCTGGGGAGCCCACCAATTTCTGTCATTAATGTACACTCACCTTAAATAAAAACAGCACTATTTGCTGGTATTGTGCCTCTGGCAGAGTAGGATTGTCAATAGACACAGCAAGTTATAGTTTTCTAAAAACTCAAGGACAGGTGGATAGCACTTTAGCTCAGCTGTCAGGAAGAGCTGTAGGATAAACAAATTCATAGTAATGCGTCTATAAAATCTGCACACTAGTTTTAAACACAGGGCAATGAAGTGAATTTTGCAATAACAAGTCAGTTTAAAACTCAATGAAGAAAAATAATCCAGCAAACTAAAACAGTAAAATCAGAGTCCATTTAAAAGGTATGGAAATCTCTATCTCAATCTATCATCTATCATCTGTCTTGATAGATGTTTCTGTCTTGCCTGACATTGATCTTATCCCTATAGTTCTCTAAGAAGCCAGTTTATGAAATCATACAGATTACTAACTCAAGTTTGTGTACTTTACCCAGAGCAATTCTTAAACAGAGGTCTTACCGAACACTGCAAAGTTTATATAAAACTACTGTTTTATATATAAAACATGTGTTCTACTACTAATCTTCTCTTCCCCATAATGAAACCCATCATTAACTATTCTGATTTATTGAATTTCTGAAGTCCAGATATATTTCTACATGGGTTTGGGTCACGAGGATTTTTTTGGTGCATATTTTTGCTCTGAGTAACAGAAACTCAGAGTAACAGAGACTTATTCTGATAGTTGAGTTTTATCTATGACTGTTGTGATAGAAATTCTAATTAGTTCAACAGGATAGTTTAGGGGTTACACCATAACTTCCGTTCCCTGGCATCCTTTGGAAGTGACTATAGCCCCCAGTCAACCAAGTCCATAGACATATTGTCTGTAGATTAAGAACAGAGTAGGATACCTTAGATATCATCAGCACTTAACCTTATTTTTTCATGGAGAAATAGGTTAAGCTAAAGATGAATAACTCGCCCCAGATCTATTCCTATGACTGTGAATGGGGTAGCACTCAACTCTCCCCAGTCCAGTTCAACACCTTACCAAATGCACACATTGGTTCTTGGTCTACAGCCTTAAATATTGCAACATTTAGTCACAGCAATAAGATAGAAAAGCAAAAATATCTTCTCATTTTAAATGGGCGTATCAGGTCAAAAATGTTTGCTATGAAGTCACTAAGACAATAAAAGGAACCCTCATTTTTGCCCTGGACCCACCGGATGGGAGGGAAGAAACCAACAGACAAAAAAGTATCCTATTACAATACATTTATATATAAGGATAATAACAATAACTATAGGATAATAACAAAGCTAGTGAGCCTAAAAGCCATAGTCTTGGAGGAAAACCCTTGAAAATCTTACCTGAGAGATAACTAGGTTCAGAAACACAGTTAATATGTCAAAACTGTGTTTATGAGCCACCTACTTCCTCCAACTCATGACTCCTTAAAAAAAATATAAAAAGGAATCAAGTTTGCTTTGTATCCACACAAATTGTAGGAGGCAAGAACTGGTTGACTGCATTTATTTCTCATTCAATTTCCTTCTTCCTCAGTATCTCAGGTGTAGTACACTACTGGTCTCTTCACATGCCAGAGCTGTTCCTTTATTCTTGTGAGAAGTTTGTTTTGTATATTATGAAAGCTAAGGGGTCTCTGGTATTGCCCTTTGCAATCATATCCAATCCTTTTCCTATCTAGATTCCTAGCATGTTCACACACATACTTTCCATATATGAAAAAGTGATCAACATTCCATTTGGAGAATTTCCACTGCTTTCTCTGTCTATGTTTCCCAAGCATTTTTCTCCCTTTTCAAATGTCTGCTGCTTCTTGTCTTCTCTTCCATAATTATACACCAAAGGTCATGGAGCAAATCTTCTCAAGTCTACTCAAGTACTAGCACTGATTTCAGTTTAAAAGCAGAGACAGACAGAGTTGGTTTCTAACCTTTCATGCATGTTTATCTGTATATATCCTAAATCATGTAATGTTTATTTTGGCTACTTTACACATAGCAAAAAATCAGTATTAGGCAGACTTTATGTAGCGTGATTCACTCTTTACTTTTGTATGGTAATGGAAATGTTCACATAGATAGGCCCCATAATGGTGATGTTTGACACGCAGGATTGTTTTACAATTTTCTTCCACCTGGTCTCAAATATTGCCATTTCTATGTTGCGGGACCCAAGGTTAGTATAATCCTCAGTTTTCCTTAATCAGAATTTTACATATTTTTAAATTCTGACCTACACTTGCAATAAATGACAGATTCTTCCAATTATTATGACTCTATTAAAACTATCAATTCCAATCCGCTTAGCAAGATTGGAGTGTTAAGAAATCATTCCTCACTTTATCCACATAAACCAATGTATCTGTTCTACAATACAGGGTACACATACCAAGCAGCCAAATGTGGATAAAATAGAGAGGTTTGGAAGAGTCAAAAGTAGTAATTGGTAACTAAATTAAACATATCCATGGAGTTTTCGAAGTGCAAAGTACATTAAAGTACACATTCCTATTAGTTAAATGCTGGACTTTTATTTACTTCAGACTTTGATAATAATCAGGGGACAAGAGAAGGCATCGAAGGTCATAGAATGGAGTGAGTTTCCTAACCAGAACACGTGACTGTGATCCTCTACATAGTTTGGCTATTCAAATGCCACTGAATTCAATGGACTTTAACCAACCCAACCAAATAGAAAGAGCTTCCCCGGGACTACAGCGTTTAACTGCAAAGAGCCAATGCACAGAGCTAATGCACTGAAGCCCCCAAAAATCAGTACCTTATAAACATCTTGTGAGAGAAAATCAAGAAAAACATAGCAATAGCTAAGATACAATACTGGCATGAAATTACTTCAATGTTCAGAAGAGAACAGACTGTGAACTCAATTGTTTATTTTTTAGATCCAAGCAAGAATATAACTTTTTCCATTGGATGTTGTGAGAAGTTGGAAAACTTGCCCCTTGTACAGTAATGGCTGGTAGTCTATACTGTTAAGTGATTGGAGGTGCTGATAAGAGGACAAAGACAAGAGGATTCATATGATAAGGCCAGAAGTGGAGACACCCTTTATCATTTGTACACAGCATTGTTTCTGTGGCGTCGTTTCAAGCTAGCCTTGGAACAGCACTACTCTCTTCATGGAGGGGCCCAGTTGTTATTGTGAACTGATTAATGCAATCCCACTTTCAAAGTTTTCTGAACATTCAAAGTTTTCTGAACAGAGTGTACAATCAAAGCCATCACTCTGCTAAACAAATAATTCCCTCAACACTATTTACTAAGTCAAACTATTTACTAAGTTTGCACTACTATTAATCTTCTCGCATCGTTCCCATCACCCATCTCCTCCCACTTATGACTGCATGACTGTAACTTTGTTGCTGGTATCCTTACGATTTCTATTGATATTGTTTCCTGATTGCTTATTTGTAACCTATGACTATCATTACCTTATGATTCTTGATGAGCGTATCTTTTATTTTATGTACACTGAGAGCATATGCACCAAGACAAATTCCTTGTGTGTCCAATCACACTTGGCCAATAAAAATTCTATTCTATTCTATTCTATTCTACAACCTCCCAAAAAGTGCTTATATAATGAAGTACATATGCACCTTGAAAGATACATTTTGTATTGCGCTTCACCAGAAAAAGAAGTAGCAGTGTAAATAATAATAAATCGTAAAAGGAATACTTTATCCTAGAAACAATATAAATATCTTTAAATACCGCAGCAAGTTAAATATCTCCAAAGTCTTTAAAATTTTAAGTATTCCAGAATTATGATCCAATACAATACTCAAGTTTAGCCAAGTACTACGAAATTCAGAAATCGAGTTGCTGGATTTTGATTGCAACTGTCTGATTTTTTTTAAAGCAAAGAACTGGAGAGGAGGAAATAACAATACCCAACTCCTAGTATTACTACCGCATCTGCATCTCGCAGGAGCAGCCTCCGCTCATCGGTGTTGCAACATCAGTACCCCACAAGTTACTCAGACCTTTCCACAACCTTACCTGATCCTACAGTTATGGGCGCGGGGTGTTAAGAAAACTGAAATAGCGCTGAAAAGAGTGGAGGGGAAAGAAACTTACAGGAGCGCCTCCGCGCGTGTGTTGCAGGGCGAGGAGGTGGCCGCGGTGCTACACCTACGGATTGGTGGCGCTTTCCCTCTTCTCCCTTTAGTTCGGTCTCTCTGCCCGCTACGAGCCCTTCTCTTCGCCTTCTGAGCACGCTGGTGTTACTATTGCTAGAAGGCGGAGGCTCAGCCTCAACCCAGTCCCCTGGGTAACTCGAAGGGAGTGTCATGAGGCTTGGACTTGTCCGGTGTTAGTTCTGGATTTATAGCAAAGGACGTTGCCCGCTTCTTTCCCATCTAGCTCACTCCACCCGCCCCATTCCCTCCTAGGAGACCCCCTTCTGGCCACCTCGCTTTCTTTCCCCCGCCCCGCCGCTCCTCCCAGCTCGTGATTCGGCCTCTGCCTTCCAACCTCCACGGTCTTCTTCCTCGCCGCCGGAGCCCACCGGTAATGAAATCGCTGCGTGGAAGGACACGCGTGCGCCTCAAGCTTCGCCTTCTAGCCAAGGTATCCATCAGCGCGCTTCCCTCCCGCTTCCCTCGCTCTGCACTCTCAAGAGGACGTAGAAAAAAAAAAGGAGATAAAAATCGGGAACGATTCCCTCGGTTTGAAGAGACTCCTTTGCAAAGTTTTACGTTTTTTCGAATGGTGGGGGAACGAAAGTTTCAGTAGTGTTTTTTTTTTTTTTTGCGTTTATTAATAGTCAATTTTTATTGGTCAAGTGTGATTGGACATACAAGGAATTTATTCGATGAAAGCAGCGCTTTCCTCTTTGATAAAAGGCCCGCATTTCCAGAGGCCCTCCCCTCCAGATAGCAAACAGCTTGTTCACATTTTCGGGGTCCTCATGGGAACAATTACTTGAGGCACAGCTCAGTGTGGTCAGGGCGTTGCACCGGGAGTGTGTGAAGAGAATTTCACACAGAGAGAATTTCACACACAGTTCCCTTCACTGATTGATTTCCGTAATTCTTACATTGTATGCATATATGTGCCTCTGTGTTTTGTGGGAGGGGATATGTCCCTCCCACATGAGGATATACATACGGTGTTCAAAACTTCTCTTGAGAGTTCTCAAACTTCGACTCCATAACTTCTAGATGTCTGAGATTTCAATTAACCCATTCACTGCTGTTGGCAGGAATCAGTGTAAAAGGTTTTTGACGTGCTATCCAAAAGACCTGTCCTGGGAGGATACTGGATTGCTTTCCCTTACTCAACATCACCTTCAAATCAACTGCAAATAGTGGACAAGTGGACCAACAAAACATACAAGTTAACTGGACATTTCTTTTGATTGGTCAGTTTAGTTCTGATCTGCACTTTGCAGCAGGGGTGAAATCCAATTTTTTTCCCTAATGGTTCTGTGGGCGTGGCTTGGTGGGCATGGCAGGGGAAGGATACTGCAAAATCTCCATTCCCTCCCCTCCTGGGAGAAGGATACTGCAAAATCTCCATTCCCACCCCACTCTGGGGCCAGCCAGAGGTGGTATTTGCCGGTTCTCTGAACTACTCGAAATTTCCGCTACCAGTTCTCCAGAACCTGTTAGAACCTGCTGGATTTCACCCCTGCTTTGCAGGGATTTCATTTTGAATTTGAACCTAGACTAAATCATATGGTGCCTTGTTCCACTGCAAGCATGCCTCATCCTTTATTTAAAGAGCCTGGCTATCCACAAACTTCTGCAAGTATCCCACTGCGGAATCATCTTATAGGCTTTTGTGCTCCACAGCAAAGTGGTGTTTCTGCCCTTCATTTTTCAAGTCACTGTATGGAGGCAATGAACCCTGCATTGATGGTTGTTGGGAAGGTAGCACTTAGCACTTAGACCTATATACCACTTCACAGTGCTTTACAGCCCTCTCTAAGCGGTTTACAGAATCAGCATATTGCCCCCAACAATCTGAGTCTTCTTTTTACCCACTTCGGAAGGATGGCACTTCTTTCATCTCTCCCATTGGTCTTGCCATGGTATACCCTAGTCCTTTGCTATTCTCTCTGCTCCTTGGTGTTCCCATGGCTTACAGTCAAGTGGAGCTCTTCATGCCAGAGAAGTTCATGTTTTGGACATCTCTCTCTTTATTTTTATTCTCTTTTTGGAAAAAGGGCAAATGACACACAGCCAACCATTCGTTGCTGCTATGAAACACTAAAAGCCTCAGGTATCCTACATGTTACCCATATTTGGACCTTTGGAGCTTTTGTCATCTGTTTGCTTTGATTCTTCCTTTCTCAGGCTTCTTATCATGGGTTCAACATCAGGCAACCTAGTTGTTGTTGTGCCCTACCCTTGGCTTGGATTTTTGTTTTTTTAAAAAAGCATGCTGGGAGATTCTGGGGTTTAATCTAGGCAGTTTAAAGTGCTGCTTGATTTCAACAGCACATGCTAGCCTCATAGACGACTGTTGGCTATTATCACAGAAATGGGGAAGCAACAATGTACAGATAGTCCTCACAATGGAGCCCAAAATATCTGTTGCTAAGTGAAACATTTGTTAAGGGAGCTTTGCCCCATTTTACGACCTTGCTTGCCACAATGGTTAAGTGAGTCATTGTAGTTGTTACGTTAGTGACACGGTTGTTAAGTGAATCTGGCTTCCCCATTGACTTTGCTTGTTAGAAGGCCGCAACAATCACATGACCCTGGGACACTGCAACTGTCATAAATATGAGTTAGTTGCCAAGCATCTGAATTTTGATCACGTGACCACAGGGATGCTGCCATGGTCGTAAGTGTGAAAAACGGTCAGCAGTCACTTTTTTTAGTGCCATTGTAACTTCAAACAGTCACTAAAGGAACTGTTGTAAGTCGAGGACTATCTGTAATCTTTTGTCAGCTGCCCTTCCCTCTGCTTCACAGAATACCATGAGTGGTAACTTCCTCTACTACAAAGTTGCACATCTCTGCTTCAGCTCAAGCAGGCAATGACAGAGGCTAGGACAGAGAAGAAAAGATAATAGCAATAGCACTTAGACTTATATACTGCTTTACAGCCCTCTCTAAGCGGTTTACAGAGTCAGCATATTGCCCCCAACAATCTGGGTCCTCAGTTTACCGACCTTGGAAGGATGGAAGGCTGAGCCAACTTTGAGCCTGGTGAGATTCAAACTGCCAAATTGCAGTCAGTCAGCAGAAGTAGCCTGCAGTACTGCATTCTAACCACTGGGCCACCACAGTTCTTATGGTATAATGATATTATCCATGCCATAAATAAATGGTAAAGGCATTCCTTCCGATTTCAGCATGCAACTTTGACCTTCATGAAATGAGGAACTTGGTTATGATGTGGAAAAATTGGCACTAGTATGTATATGTGTACATGTGTATGGATATTAATATTTATTCTAAATGCAAGAATTAATGCATTGAGATCTTAACTAAGCAACAAAGGGTTTTTTAAAAACTGTACACTGCTTATACAGCAGTCAGAGATGCTGGAACTGTGACTGTCCAGGAAGAAGAGTTGTCAATGAAGAAGGACCAATCAAAATCTTTACATGATGTGGTAGATAAGGAAAATGATAGAAATAGATAATAGAAGAGTGAACATACTGTATAGGTTTGATGCTGAGCCAGCAAGATGAGACTGACATTTATCAGCAGTAGAGGAAATAAGAAAGCATGAGAGATTGACAAGTGGATCTGTCCTTGGTGACAAATAGAACAACTTATATCTCAGTTGGGGAGGTTGATGTGTGGCCTGACTAGCCTTCCAATAGTTGTAAGCCGCTAACTTGAACCATCCTTTTGGATGGTTCTCCAAACTACTCCAACAATGCATTTTTACAAATGAGAATGCAAAGCAGAATATAGTTCTTTGAAATTTTCATTTATTCAAATGTCATGATGTAATTTACCAGTGAAAGAAAAAAATACATTGGAGAAAACATAGTAAAAATAACGGTAAAATGTAATATATGTATTAACTTTGGCAAATTGGTGTAAAAAACTCAGTAATTTGAAAGCTATTTGTAAACCTTCAGTCAATGTAATACAGATGTTGCCTCTGGAACATATCATATAATTAAAAAGCAAAAAAAATGCCTAAAAGGATAGATTCATTTAACCCTAGTTCTCGATTTAGAAAAAAAAATCTTTCAGATGTTGTCTCAGTATTATTGGTGTTTCTAATCATAGGTGATCTTAATTGTAACGATGCCAAAATGTAGGCATAAGCTTCGACATGCAAACCACTGCTCTTTTCTATTTGGCTTATGATATTGCATTCAATCCATAAGGGGAAGCTATATGGTAGACAGAGATATATACTTAAAAGACATCTGATTGGTCCCCATTTGAGGCTATATTAGATAAAGTTTCTTTAATGAACACTTAAATTATTTCTAAACTTAATAATTATGATGATTGTGGTGGTTGTGGAGATGATAGATGGCTGTTATTATGCATTTGCAAGTGCACCTTTTCAGCTTCCTCTTAATTTTGAAATAGGAGTGACATATGTTTCTCAGCAGCTGTTCATGTATATTCAATGGAGAACAGTCTGGCAGTTGTGGGCTTGCACATCTGTTTATCAAGTCAGAAATTCAAAGGCATTCTTCCAAAGAGCATTATGAGAGGACTCATTTTTTTTGTTCACCTCAACAGTATACACACACTACTTCAAGTCATAACTGTAGGTATTGTTGGCCTAATTTTGTTCAGATTCTACCTACCAGTTTAAAGCACCATGGCTCTATTATTCAAAGCTAATATTATGATGCTCCAGAAAACTGGACTAAATTAAGGATAACATTTCACACGATGAATTCCAGAAAGCAGAATTGTCTGGTTTGCACACTATGCAATATAAGGCTGATGTAATATTCCAATGTGTGAAAAAAGCATCTTATTTTGACTAGCATTATACAAAAAGATACTAATTAGATTAGAATTATACAAAAAGACCTTCTTCTTCTTTAAAATATAGTCAGTACTGTAAGGTTCATCTTTGTAACAATTTAACTAGCTCCAATAGTTAATTTGTATTTGTTAAAAGTGAAAATGTTCATCCAAAGCTGCAGATGTGGTTGAATTTCTTGTTAGCCATAT